TCCTCTCTCTCTCTGCAAATCTCTGTAACAAAGAATTCTCTGTGTTTCGTATACCTTTCATTTCCCAACGCAATGGCCACTGATATTGAGGCTTCATCATTTTCTTCTTCCTCTGAATCTCGAGTTTCTGCCTCCCAAAATACAGATGCAATCGAGCGCGATTCTGGGAATTTTGGGTACGTCTCGATTACCCTTTTGTTTCAAAAATGTGGATCTACATTTCGATTTCGAATTGGGTTTTGTTTCTGGTCCCTCGACTCTCAACTATTTTGGTTTAGGTGCTCGCATTATCGAAGACGATGCAAAATCAGAGCTCCCTGTTGCGATGAGATCTTTGATTGCAGGCATTGCCACAATGAAGCTAAGGTAGAAATTTTTGTGGTCATTAAAATGTTCGTTGTTGTCTTGAAACGCTTTTTGATGATTGATTTTGGTTAGACTTTTTTATATCTTCTTATTGTCTTGTTGCTTTGATCATCAGAACTCGCTTGAAACGAAAACTCTTGATCCACATGATATTCCTCGCCATCAAGTTCAGAAGGTTTGTGAAAAGTATAGTTTCCTTCTCCTTTTTCTGATAATCATAGTTAATAATTAGACCAGTTCCAGATTGATTGCTTAGAGATTTAGGTTGAGAATATGAACAAAACGTTAAATTTACCATTTAACACAATTTGAGTGGTTCTTATGAGAAAAACCAAAGCTTACAAGTTACATTCTATGGATGATAGTTGATACGTTCTGCAGTAGATGGTCTTATAGATCTTTAGTGAATCTGAATTGGAAAAGCTGAAAAAGGTGACTTTTATTCTGGTGGGTGGAGGGTTTGGCGATTATACTTTTAGAAAAGCTTGAGCAGGACTCAAAAAAGATGGTTTTTACTTAACCATGGCTTAGTTCTGAAGTAAACCTGATACTTTTATTTTAAAATGAAGTACAACCATAAAGCTTCTTAAGTTACATATTGTATTTATAAGTAAAGCCACCATCTTGGTTGCCTTTTGTATAAAGTCGAAAAGTGAATCCATCTTTGACTTCAATTTAAAGTGGACAATATCTTAACAGTTTATAAAATAAGGGAACGTATGTTTCTTGTTTCTAGTTTTATTGAGAAATTTAAGTATTTGACAACTATTTATGTTTCTTGTATTTCTTGCTTTTTTAGAAATGTTCCCAAAATTATATATAAATTTTGAAAAAGAAAAAAAAAAACAAGTTTATTAGTTCTAGTTCCCATTTTCAACCAAATTAAGTAAAAAGAGGAAACAAGAAACGGACCATAAGGAATCTGTCCTAATTTTTAACCAATGGATGAAAGTGTTAAATCCACATCTGTAAAATTTTTAATTCCAGTCAGTTTCCTCTTTTCTCCTCTAGTATCTAACTGTATGAGTGATCTTATTCCACCTTACAGGTTATCTGTTCCTTGTGTGACACAGAACAAGATGTGAGTTCCTTGAGAATAATACTGTAATTAAAACATGAGAGAACTTTAAATGGGTATAATTAACTTGTTCAGTTCTTTTGTATTCCAAGCAGGTTCAGCAGTACTGCATAAACTGTGGAGTCTGTCTTGGGAAGTACTTCTGCAGCATATGCAAATTCTTTGATGATGACGTGAGTTAATTACACTAGTATAGTCTTTCAAGTTTCTGCTGCAATTTTTACTCACGGAATAACGTTTTTCGAGTTACTTTCCGAAGTTGTGGCTTATTTCTAATTTCTTCAGCTTTTTTCCCTTTCAGGTTTCAAAGAATCAATACCACTGTGATGAATGTGGAATCTGCAGGTATAAGTTTTGCAAACTCTGTTAACTGTACTCAAATTTTGTTTATCTTATGCTGATGCTTAATCAGTATGTTATCTTTATTCCACTTTGCAGGATTGGAGGCAAGGACAATTTCTTCCACTGTAAGACATGTGGTGAGATTGAGATACAATGCTCAAACTCAGAGCCTGAAACAGAAAGAAAACAGTTTAAAACTTATTTTTTTTCAAAACTTATTTTTTTTCATTCTTCCAATTTTCATCACAGAATGTTGCTATTCCAAAGTAATGAAAGACGGACATCGCTGCATTGAAAGAGCAATGCATCATAGTTGCCCTGTTTGCTTTGAGGTAAGGAAAATCAATGCACAACTATCTTATGTTAATTCCTACTGGTTTAACGTTGTTTAATTCGATATGTCTGAATTTTTCGATCTGCAGTTTCTATTTGACACAACAAAAGACATCAGTGTCTTGCCTTGTGGCCATACAATACATTTGGAATGTGCAAAAGAGATGGAGTCACATTTCCAGTAAGCACATCATATTCGCAATACTTTTGATATCCTTAGGATATTATGTTGGAAACTATGTAGAAACTTGTATATGATACCCCAAAATCGGTTGAAATCATTATTAAAACTTCCATGAATATTCTCGTTCAAACTCGTTTTCAAATGAATCGGGTGTGAGGTCTAGAAGTCTAAATATCTTCTTTTCTGATTCCACGTCGAACACGATTCAATAAGTTCTTACAATGTGTTTATCTTTCATTCAGGTACTCTTGCCCCGTTTGCTCAAAGTCCATATGTGACATGTCCAGATTGTGGGAAAAGCTTGATAAAGTGGTAATTAGATTATATTGCTTATTTTCTTAAGTTTCCCAACCATTGATGTGAATTAAATTCATTCATAAAGATCTTGGTTTCTTTTTCTTAACCTGCAAATGCAGATCGCTTCGACCCCAATGCCCGATACATACAAAAACAAGAAGGTAACGCTATCTTTCAATGATGTGTTTCAGCTTTCTGTTCTTGATTTTTTACTTGTTCTTAAGAGAGGAGTTAAGAATAAAACTGATGCCTCTTCCAAAGCATTGCTTATATTTGAAAACAAAAACACGAGTATACTTATAAATGCTTGACATGACTTGGCACACAATACATTCAAGCAGGTGTGGATTCTATGTAATGACTGTGGTACAGAAGATGAGGTTCAATTCCATATCATTGCTCATAAATGCTTGAAGTGCAACTCCTACAACACCAAACAGACAAGAGGAAGAGGATCTACTGCTCCTTGCCCGTCAACGGTGGTGCCCGAGATAGTGAGATGAGAGGCGCCCTCCTACCATTTAAAGTTTATAAGGAGAATTATTGGAGTTGTTCATCACATTGTGTTGGCCTTCTCATTCTCATACATGTAAGATGCATGATGTCTTTATAAATGAACTAATACTCTCATATCTAAGAGAGAGTTGGCTTAAAATCGTCGCACCAAATAAATTTTCAAATCTAGAGTGTGGCTGCGATAACAAATGAATGCAAATATAAATTTTGTTAGGCTAAATACCTAATGCATTGTTATAAAAATAAAAAAATAAAATACCTAATGAATTTCTTTTCCTTACCAGAGAAAAAATGCGTGTCTGAGGGAACTTGTACAAAAAAGGAATTAAAATAATTTAAAATTTTTAAAAAATATATCTTCTTTCCTTAAAACAAAAAAACTGTGAATCGATTACCTCCGATTTTTAACATTATCATGGCCTCTTTTCGAAAAACTGGAAAAAGGAAATTACCATCATTATTATCTTCATGGTGATCTCTTTCTTTGAGCAGGAAGAGAACCAAAGGATGCGAATGAAAAAATAAAATAAAGGGAAATTTTAAATCACATTTATTACGAATAAAGTGATAACTATAATTGGTACTAACGTGAAACATTTATTATGTCTATCAACCCTACAAAAATTTTCCCATTCCACTCTTTCTTTCAAACTTTCTCCTTCTCTCTGTCTAACTTTTTCATTACTGTCAAGAAAAAGGGAAATGTTACCACAGAGAAGCAAGATATAAAATTTGAAATTTATCCTCAGCAAAATGATTTCAAATCAAATTTGAACAACAAATGTAATGTTAGCTAAAAAAAGTTTCTGCAACTGCACTGTACTGCGACCTCCATTATCCTGACACGGCTGTCTTTTTGCTTTGTGTGAACCCTAAGTTTTCTGCATTTAAATCTCTGTTCCAAATAATGCATCTTTTTGCCTTTAGACTTTAACAATCAAAACAGGAGGACAGAATGCCTATTACGACAACTATCACCATTCAGATGCAGAAGAAAAAGCTTTCACAAATTCACAAACAGACAGCCAGCTGGCAATCTACTCTCAGTCTTTTTCTTTTCAGCTTAAATTTAGACCTAATCCCCACGGTTTCCAAGGCATTCTCACACGTGAAGCCAAGTTTCTTCTGTTGTTGGAAGGGAACAGACTTCTCCATTCTAGATAACGATGCATTAAATTTACAAAAACATTTAAAGGGCATCTCCTAAAATAACCCAAATGAGGCTTTTCAGACCCCTCTTTGCTTTGGAGAGAGTGAACCCAAGTAATTCTTTTCTATCCTCGAGAAGCTTATGAGGATGACTGGATCATAATTCAAAATTCACTTCAAACAAGGGACAATCATTTACAGTCATTTGTACTGCAGCAAGTTGATTTGGTCTTTTTTAAACAAAATTTATGATTTTGGAACTGGGAAGCCTTACAGAGAAAGAACTAAATAAATATAAATAATATTGAAGGGGGCGACACTCCTCCCTAGCCTTTGTTGCAGACTATGTCTGCAGGAACTATTCTAAAGTTAAAGAAGGACCATGAAAAGAAGTGAGATTGTAACTGTAGTTTAAAGCAAAGTTAAAATTATGTCATTTAATATTAGCTGACCTGACAAGCAAAGAAACCAACCCAAAAGATAGCTGAGTTGGCATCCAGCGCCAAACTGCGCACCCCCTCAGGCTGAAGAGTGGTGGTTTGCTCCTTTTTACACTCGAGAGATATACAGAATCATCAGGGACCCACCAACAAATTATCACCACCAATTGAATTCGAATGGAGATCTGATCAAAAGTAGGATCTTTCTCTGGCGGGAACGAGCTTTTTAACTTCGCCAAAAGAAGAGGCATTCATTGGTTTTTAAGAACTGCCAACGTCCATGCTATTGCAAGTTGATTTCGACCAGATTATAACCCGAGCTCCTGAAGCAAGCCTGTGAAACGAAAATTGAACTAAATGTCAACCAAGATTCACCAAAATAGTGGCTGAATAGTGCCACCTTGAGAATCTGATAAGAAAATTGCAAGTCTGTACTCAACTTTCTTCGATCTTGATCACGTCTTCTTCCTCTTCACGGAAGGAATCTAGCCGCTTAGACGGTTTCCTTTCAGAGCAAGGCTCTGTAATCCTTTTACTGCTATCGTTGGAAGCACTGGGGCTTATGGTCTGAGAACTATCAACTCCATCAGAAGAAGTTCTTGGTCTATCAGAAGTAGGAGATTTCGTTGGCTCATTTCGTGGTTGCTTGCTTAGTGAAGCTTTAATAGCCCGTGGAATGCACTTTGAGCGGCCCGTGGTTGACTCATCTTTGTCTTCAGTTGAATTAAATTGCTTGTATGTCCTACAGTGTTAGCTTATTGTGAGTTATAAATTAACTGCAGCTGCAGGCAGTATGAAGAAACAACCACGTGTACTGCAGAAGTTCTCTGATATTAGACAACTTTTTGTGTGAATCATAGAAACAATAAGAAAATACTGACATACATATATAGAATGATAGAAACCAAAGTAATCTAGCTCCTGCCATACATCTGCAAACAAACATGTATTTGCAAGAAGTAAAAGGTTCACATTCTATCATGGCTGGGAACAATGGTAAGTTCTCGTTATGTACATCCATGTTTATCAGCAGAGCAGAGAGGTAGCTTAAAGTAGCCATGACCGTGAGATTTTAACCATTAAACAGAGATGTAGCCTCAAAGGAACTTCTTACATTAACATAAGAGACAAGGTAAAACAAGTAACAGTAGGTAGTAAGACGAGAATTTCGCACCTACAAGCATTATGCACGAGTTCAGAATATAAAAGAACATGACAAAAATGCAGGTTTACCAATCTTGGCCAGCACAAATTTGCAGAATCTCTCATCAAGCTTTAAGCTTTATACAGCCTAAAAATTTAGCATAGGGACTTTATAACTTCTTAACTTCCTATGCAAGCAAGGTGAAGAAAATTAACCCGCAGAAAATAGCACAGGCATGGATCAACGGATCATGGGTTTCATCAATCAGAACAAGAAGGAAAAGACTTCAACATGTTAAAGGTGATGTTCATGGGACAATTACGTCTCCTATCCACTAAAATCATGATAAAGGATCTTTTTCTTCAATTACGTTGCTGCCTTAATTGAGCAAGCTTGATCTTTGTTATAACCATGAGTCATGACCAACCACCAGAAAGTACATGAGGAGAAATGAAGGCAATAAAAAGAAATGAATTGCATTAAAAATTAAGGATGTTAGAACATTAAACATTAACGAAGTATGTGAACGTTAAAAACAAACCTGTCGGCATTGTATGAAGACGATCGTTTTAAAGTTGTCAATCCATCACCTTGCAGCATTTTAGTTTCGATCAAGCTACCACTGAAATATTCCTTGTCTTCCAGCCTCAAGCCCATCATCCTAGGATTCTCAGACAGGCAGTTGAGTTCTCCCAACATCACTGTAGTAGAGAATAATGGGGAGGGAAATTTGGAGTGAGAAAACCGTGGTTTGTATGATGGAATGAGTCCAAAACTATGATCCTTTACTGATATTGATCCACACGAGATAAGTTGCATTAACACATTCGTAGCCTTGAGTCTTGCATTCGTTGGCATCCGAATTTCTTCTTCTTCAAGAATTCTAAAACTGTTGATTTTACTAGCATCAGCTCGGATAAGAGACTCTAATGTTTCAGTCTTCCCACCTGAAGAGGAAGCACTAGAGGACAATGGCGGTGGAGAAACTGAATCCTGAGGAGCATCATAGTTCTGTTTTTGATTTGAAGCCCCGTTGTTAAGGATCTGACTACATTCTGGTTCCATGGTCCCATCATCTGTCGAAACTCCCCTTGTACAAGTTTCTCGTGTTTTCGGTCTGCTAATATTTTCCTCAGTCTGAGTCGATGCATCGGACAAGCCATCAGTTTTGTACACTTTGTATTCTGTCAAGCTAAGACAGCCACCCCATGAACTCTTTCCACCTCCAGAATCTGGAGACATGCCCGACGAACCAGGTCGAAGGACAGACAGCGAGAGGTCATCATCTTGAGAATTTTTCATTTCTTTTCCATTCAGGCTTGAAGAAGACGAAGAATCATCCTGACTCTGAGAAGATGTTGGTTCAGGTAATTGTTTCAATGGCTGAATATTCACATTGCCGATGGAACTGAAAGGGTCTGTGAGAACATATCCAACTTTCAAATTTTGTTCATTACTTCTTTGCCAGGAGAAGCAGAACCTAGTAACCACCCATATGTTTCTTTCCCAGTTTAGTTTTACAATTTAGGTCACATATGCATTTAAACCGCCTATTTCGTCTTCAAAACCTTACAACACTACGTTTTTACTAACCTTTACCAGAAGTGGACTCTTCAAACAGCTCGGAGCCTTTGAGAACATACTCATTTCCATGAGCCGGAAGAATTAGGTCATCTTCGCAGAGATCATGCCAAACAAATCCATTCTTGTAGCTTCTGTATAATCAGGCCAAACAAACTACGTTATAATAACAATGCTGTGCATTCAGAAATTCAAACATCTGAGAGTTCTTTGATGATTTCTCCCCAGTATTTCTCAGCATCCAAACAAATGAAATGAGAAATAAAAATGAAAGATTGCAAGTAGTTAACCTCTTACAAGACCAAGAGTAGAAGGTAGCCATGCCTCTTCCTCGGAGAACGTTAAGCCTGTTAATCACATCTGGGCAAAAACTACTTTAAAGCATGTCAAATCGTTAGGAGAGGAGGGGAGGGGGTTAGTAAGAGGCAACATTTCGATTTAACAGTACCTCTCAAATACAGTCCCTCAGGGGACGAGAGTGGGACTTCCATGAAATGAGGATGCTCGAGCTGCCTATTTCTGCATAGGTAATAAATCACAGGTACCTTCCGAGTCTGTTGGTACTTGGGCGACTTCTCCGTCCACACCTTAGCCCTCTCGGGACTCAGTTGGTTGTACTTCTTCATTCTCATCTCCATACCACCTCAATATTACATCAATCCCACGTCAAAGCGGCTACCAATCGACCAGATTCCAGAATTTTTAGCTTCCTTACTAACAGACTAACAGTTATCGCGGAATCCCTGTAAGAAACAAATCGTGATCAGTCAGCCACATATGCGGGAAGAAGACAGTTCTATGGATACAAATGGCAGAAAAAATTGGAAGAAGTAATTGCCAGATCTGAGAACAGAGGAAGCAGAAACTCCAGCTTTATTCCGGCCAAAGTGAAAAGGGTCAATCATAAGGGAGAAAAATAAAAATGTCCGATGTTGAGAGAACAGGCAGAGTAAGACTGACGAAGGAGGAGGAGGAGGAGGAGGAGAAGCAGAAGAAGGATGGCTCCCCTGCGTTTATTTCTCAATGGTACAGAGACAGCTTGTAAATAGAAAGTTGGGATAATATAAGACGTCAACTTTACAGATAGAGAGAGAGAAGTGATGACATGAGACTGAGAGGGACACGACGGAAACGGAACCAGAAGAAGCTCTTACCCCCCTCCTCATTTTCTGGGGTCTTCCCTTTTTACTTCTTTCTTTTTCTCTCGTTTGGCTGATTCCGTCGAAGAACAATAGCTGCCTCTTCTTAGTCGTCGCTTGGGGGAAAAAATACCAACTTGATTATTTTTCTGTTCAAGTGTCCAGTAGCTTTGGACCTCTCCTTGACGCCTACTGTACTGTCAGGAAAACCTTTTCTACAAATTTATACTTGAAAGAAAACAATCCGTCCACTCCACTCCACCAGCTCCTATTACAGGAGTTGACTGTTGTGAGTGAAAAAAAATTCAACTCCATTGCCAGAAGTACATTTTTTAAAGATACTTGTTTTGTTTGGATCTTAAACATCTTTTAAACTATCCAATTCCAAACGAATATGGTGGGTCTTTCTCTGTAATTTTCAAAAATTAAAAAAAAAAAATCATATAGGTATGGGATGTATTTTGGATCCAGTGAAACCAACAAAATACGAATAAAAGAACCCAATACCTTCAAGTTCAATCTCAGAGACTAACATTACTAAATCAAATGATTTAAGCATCATACAGCACCCGCTTAGCTCAAAAATCAGAAAAATGGCGGTAAATTATGAAGGGGAATTTTTACAAACATGTGGAGAGCATTACCTTCTTGGAAACAAAGAACAAGGAACCCAGATGGAGCAATTCCAAGAGGAGTCACCGAATCATTCTGTTAGCAAAGCTTTCCCAATACAATTGCTGAAAAATTATGGAATTATTGTCAGGAAAGAGGCACACCGATGAACGACATGGTGGATACGGCAGAGGCACGATCGCCTTGAATTTTTGATTGCTCCCTTTTCCCCAAAGAACCAACCTTCTTCCACATTGGCTTTCATTAAATACTGCACAATACCGTGGGTCACCCGGTTCTGCTGTCTCCTGATACTTCGCTGCCGCGTGTAGTAGTCTTCTGTTGCGTACTGTCTGCTGCTATCCAAAATCCAATTCAATTTTCTATACTCGCCTTTTGGTTTAGGGGTCTGAAAAGTCTCCGTTTCAATACTCATTATTAACTTAAATAATTTTGGAGCTCAAAWATATATATATATATTTTTTAATTTAGAGTATTTGTTTTGGAATAAAAATAACAAATACCGAGTTTGGTGAGACGTACTTTTTACCAAAAGAAATTGGAGGGGTAAAAGAATGGGAGGTTACGAATAGATTTAAGTTTTATTTTGATTTGTGAAATTTCAATCATAATTCAAATTTGACGTGTGAACTTTTAAATTGTTTACTTTTAAAATTCAAAATTATTAAATAAATTGTTTTGATTTTCTATACTCGCCTTTTGTTTAATAGATGAATAATGTAGCTTCTATCGTATGAAATGCATACATGTTAGTAGATACAATAATAGGATTGACAAATAATTTAATAATGATAATGTTAATGATGCTAACACGAGCTTAACTCAGTAGTAATTTAACCAATAAATAATGAGTTCGAATCTCACACCTACTTATTATACTTAAAAAAATAATAATTTTAATGATTGTTGAAGTGTAATGATATAAATAAATGTTTTAAAAGCTAATGAACCAATAGTATTACTTTTTCAAAATTTAGGATAGGATCAAAATGGTTTGTATAAATAGAAAAAGGAAAAAAAAGAAATAAACAAAACGGGCTTGCAGTTGCTTAACTATCTTTAAATAAAAATTGTACGTAAACATACACAAATAAGAATGAACTGGCTGTAGTTTAGTGGTAAGAATTCCATGTTGTGGCCGTTGAGACCTGGGCTCGAATCCCAGCAGCCACAAATTTGTTCTCTTTTTCAAATATTTTGTTTTTGCTTTTTAAACTTCTGTATTATTGCAATTTATTTATTCATTAATTATTAAACAACAAAATAAATCAAATTTATTCCGAATTACGATAACACGCCAGTAGCCTAATAATATTGATTTGCCCAAAATACTTACTTCACACATTATGTTTTTAAACTAATATTAATTTCTTGCAACTTCTACCAATTATTTAATTTTCTCTTTTTCCAAGTTCAACCACCTTATGTTACGTGACATTTAATATTTTTTCCCATATATAGACCGTTGATCCTAAACTAAAAAGATTATTAATGGGGTCAACATCTAAATGTAAGGCCCCTAATAATACAATAATTTAGAAACAAAAATCACTAATAAATGTAAGGTCGATTAACGAGGGCAAGCAAATGATTAAATATTAATTATTTGACATAATAGTGGATAACTCACTCTTGTACTTCGTTAAACGTTAAAATTAGAGTGTGAAATCATTATAAAGATGAATTATTTACACAAAACAATATAGTTCTGGAATCAAGGGTAAGAATTTAATTTTGCTACCATTTTCATATGGTATTATCGGTCGGGAAAAGGCCAAATAAATGCGAAATTGGCCCCATATACAAGTTCGTCTTTTAGGTAAAAGTCAACAATAATAGGTTGTGGTTGTGGCTGTGGCTGTGGAAGGGCTACATGCACGTAATCAGGTTGCACAGGTTTTGTAGGGCAGTTAACATGTTCACTACATATCCGATTTTCTTTTTAGTTCAGTGGATGGAAATTCGAACTTTTTATTTTTTTATTATTTTTTTCTTTTTTCATGGATAATATATGATATATCTTGAAAAAATTAACTTATGACTAATAATGGTATATATTTTATTCCATTGAATTATGTTCGTGTCGTTAAAATGAAACTTATTTGTTGGACAACCTTTATAACATTATGTTGTTACAAAAATGAAAAATACTTACGAAACCCATTAATCAGCTAACAAGAGTAGGAGGACTATTAAAGTTTGGCCAAATATATGTTTTTGTCTATAATATTTGGGTGATTTTTCAATTTAGTTCTAAATGTTTATTAAGAAAAAAGTTACAATTTTGTCATTTATGTTTTAGTAATTTTCAATCTAGTATATCTCATCGTTAGTAAATATTAAAATTAACTTAAATGCTAAGTATGTAGTGAATTTGTGGAAATTTAGAGTCTTAGACAAGGAAAAAAATGTCTAAAATGTTCCAATTTCAAATGCGATCAAAGTATCACATTAGTCAATAAAGAGAAATATTTTGAATATATAAACGAGGGACAATATTTTTATATAATGAAACCTTTGAGATGGTATAGAAAACAAAAGCTCCTAAAGTTGTAATTGGTAAAATTTTCAAGTTTTTTTTCCTTCTCTTAGATACATTTTGCTTTCCTCAAAATTTATATTAATTTACTAAATATTATATTAGGTCAGCTATCATCTATTAAGTTTAACATATTTGAACTCGAAGATATATAACTTTAATAAAAATTTTGGAGGTTCAAATTTCTATTCTAACTGTATTCAGCATAATAAATATCCATGGATCGTATAACAAAATTTGGTAGGTTAAAACTTGTCCTCCTTTTATTTGAATGTTAATTGTAATAAATATTTAGAAAATAAAAGTAGTTTAGAAGACTTGAAAAAATAGGGGAAAAAATCAAAATTTATCTATAATATTGAGGAGGTATAAATTTTCACGGCAAACTTTTAATTTAATCAAATATAACTATAAATTAGACAAGTGTTGCAATTTTTACCATTTATTTAATTTTCACTAATTCACCGATTAATCTTGACAAAAAAATTTAAAATAAAAAATTCACAAATTCAATTAAAATTGAATTTTGTACAAAATTACGTTTTTAATAAACTTACAAATTTTAATAAAAAGCAGTTTTGTTTCAATCATACCAATTTCACACCAAATAGATATTTAATAATTTATTGGAACCACGTGGATATATGTACACACATATACATACATACCTTGCACCAAATGCTTGGGACCACTAAGATATGATCTATTTGTTAATTTAAAAAACTACTATTCAAACAAAAACTTAGTAAAAATTACAATAATTTTTAAACTTTAAATAAAAATTGTAACATTTATCCGAGTCTTACCAACCATGCGATGCCTTACCAAGTTTTATGTTAAAAATTTATATTTTACTTTTTAAAAGGGGAAAAAATAATGTTCATAAACATCATAACTCCTTTTTTTTTTTAATCAATTTGTTCTCTCCTTTCTCCACCTCCGGCTCCCGACAGTTGGGCAACTTATAGTCAATAATCGCGGCATCTTGGGCGGTCCCTTCAATATCTACTTTTGGGGCAGTTTTAGGACAGGCGGAAATGACCTGCATTATTTTATATTATTGATTTGATAGCTTGTTGCTCTCTTTGATGATTCAACTATCGCAATTAATAATATGTTCTGGATTGGAATTAAACAATTTTTTAATATGTTTTTCTTTTAATTTTATATCATATTTTTTGCTGTAGAATTCCATTCCTTATTATCATATTTTCTATAAATTATTTTGCTTTGCCTCCTAAATTATTTCTCAATAGAAATGAGTTATGACGTTTATCATCATGATAGAGCATAAGGGATGCGAGACAGATTATAATAAAAATTTTGAAATCTTAATTTTTTGTATAATTTTTTTTAAAAAATAGAAGAACTAGAAGGAGGTAATTAACTCCTTCCTTTATCCACTCTATATCTCTCGTTGAAGCCATACATTTTTCTAAAACAATACTTTTTTTCTTTTGTAATATTTTTAAATATATAATGTTTCAGTTACAAAAATTAAAATAGACAAATAATAAGTTTTATATCTTTTAACTTTTTTTTAGTACTTATATCTTAAATATTTAAATATTATATTCATCATTGTAGTATTAATTTTTTTAGAAGGAAATGAGGGTGAGGGTGGGGATTGGAACTCTCTATCGAAGATAGATACCTAATTCAGTTATTTTTTATCATTATAATTTGTTTTTTAATTTTTTAATATCCGTGAGTGTCTGTACCAGCTTGCGCGCAACTCAACTAATCTCACGGAACAACCGTTCAACTCTACAACATCTAGTATCAAAAAACACGTAAGAATTAATTCGTACATTATACTTTTAAAACATTAATTTTAATTTTTATACTTTCAATTTTTATATTTTTGTCATTTTATTTTCAAAACTCACATTTTGTTTCTATATTTGTTATCTCATTTTCTCAACTATAATCCATACAATCAATCAATTTTTTAAAATATTATCATAGTTTTGTATTAAAGAATTTTGATGGTTTATAGGATTTGTATTAGAATTTTTCCTTACGTGGAAAAAATGGCTGCCAATCCAACATTTTAGCCGCATAATTATGATTTTTTCTAACATAATTTTAATCATATTCGATATTTATGAAATTAAAACATTTCACAGTTCAAGGAACTATTATTATGAGAGAATAATTTACCAAAAACCAAATAATGTCATCTTATTATCTGCGAATATGACTGAAGCTGTACATTGCAGGCCTCTGTTAGCCCAGTGGGCCGTATACACTTATGGGCCCAAAACCTTCACACCTGCGATTAAAAGCCTATAACCTCCACGTCTGGGCTAGGTGAACGCAGTTTTACCAATTACGATTAATATTTTCAAATTTATCTCCTTTTAAAAAATCAAATTATTATAAATTCGTAGGCTCTGTTTCAAAAGAAAAAATAAAATAAAATAAAAAATCGTAGGCTCCGTCAGTGATTTATTTTTTTTAATATTAATCTTTTTTAACGTGTTTTTTTTTTATTTTAGTACAAACAAAAAGTAGTATATATTGGAAAAGCTTAAAAAATATATTATATCACCTGTATATATAGTTGTACTGAAAAAAAAGAAAACTAATATATGTATTTGATATTTTTTATGAAAAAAGTAGTTTTTTTAAGTACAAACAAAAAGTAGTATATTGTTAATCGAGATCGTTTTTATTTATATAAAAAGAATAACGAAAAAAAAAAGATAGCGTTTTTAAATATGGAAGAAATTGGAAGATCCCGGAAAATCACGGAAGAAACGTCCTGAAATGAACAAATTAAATGGGCATTAATATCATCGACCCGCTCTTCGCAACGGTCAAATAATTTTCGCGCCACAGTCGTCTATAATTTCCCGCCTAACACTAAGCATCTCAGTCGGAAGTTGAATCGCCACTCTCTCGCCAGCCGCGGATTTCCAGCGGATGATTGCCGCTGTCCAACAGGCCTCCGGCTTGGTCCGATGCCATATATTTTATTCCTCACTCTCCCTCTCTTCTTCTTCAGCCTTGTTCTCACGATCTCATCAGAGTTGAACCAGAGCCGCGGCCTCTGCCTTTTTGAGTGGTTTTTGGGACCTTGTAAACCCTAGATCACTACCAGGCACTGGGATAAAAAGAGAGCGTAGCGCATAATCGAAAGAAGGCTTCTGGTCTCGTTGATGAAAAAGTAGAGGTAATACAACTCCGTTTCAGCGTTTTGTTGTTCTGGGATTCGATTGCAAATTCAAGGGTCCGGCTGGCTATTCCGATTCTTTTTTTTTTTCCTTTTCTTTTGTTGTTGTTGGTTTCCGCTCTTATGCCATTGATATTATCTTATTTGCCATCTTAATCAACGCATTCTCTCATTGATTATTTATTCATCTCTTCTCTTTTCTCCTTTCCCTCTGTGTGTTTATTTGGGTTTCTTTGGATTAGAGAACTTCTGAGGTTAATTAGGGTTTTTATTTTTTTAATTTTTTTGGCATGTTATACATACATAGATGACTTTGTATGCTTCGTGGTTGTGGTAACGGATTAGGGGTTTATTATCAAGCAGGCACTCCCCGTTTTTTTTAGAATTTTATTAACATTATGAATGTCAAACATGGCAGGTTAGGAGTTTAAAAGACACGGCTTTATTGGCTCTTGGCATGGAGGCATTGTTATTGTGTGTAACGACAGAGTTCGTCACGTGTCATGTAATGTACGTTTTTGCCATTTTATTAGATGATGTTAATGTTAATTCCTCGATTGGGAATTCGAATTTTATGGACTCTGTTTTAATGTGAATTACCAGGATGCATGGTCGGGAGCTGTTATTTTTGGTTCTCAACGAGGAGGATTCTCTTCCCGAAATTGGGCGATGAATTGGATGTTGGAATTGAAACATTGCGTATTACCCATTCGGGTTGCATGAACGATGTTATGGAAGGAGTTGGCGATGGAGGTCAAATTTGGCGAGGTCAAAATCAGATCACTTTAAGTGCCGTAGCAGGTAGAGTTCTCCAACTTATTAACTTGCAATTTTCACTTGAGAGATCACGATTTGGATCACTGTTGAGATCTTGCCATTATTCTAGGGTATTTGTTAATAATTGCATAATTGTTAATCTGTTTTAACAAGTTATGGATGATATTTTACAATATTTTTGGTTGTGAATTTATATGAATTTTACACATAAATTGACTGCACAAATATATATACTTTCTTAGAATTATTGATATTTTCCTTGAAAAGTGAAAATGGAAAGATAACATTTAGAGATTATATACTTTAAGTTGAAAAGATACATGTATTATGGTGGAAGGACTATGAATAGGAATAGGCAAATTTAAATTGTAGAACAAAGAATTGTTGGAGGGTTGTAAAGATTTGCAAAGTGGATAGAGAATTAAGATGATGGGACGAAGATATTTTCTTAGAATTACCAATAAGTTTCCTTAATAAGATATTTTCGGGAGTTGAAACAATGGAATCACTAGAATAAAAGATATTAGGGCTATGGGAGGAAGGGAATAGTTGGATTGTATTGGTCAATAAGATGGATAAAGGACCATCTTTTGGATTTGTTGAGTTAATTTGTTATGTATTTAAGGAGGAAGGAAGATTCTTTGTTTGGATAAAGAGATTTTTGACTAAAGTATGAGACTAGAATTCAATTTTTTTGTCTAAAGAGTTCTTGTCGTTCTTTGGATTGGAGATAATGATTGAGCTGCCAAACAATAAGGTTAATTTTGGGACAAGTGAGGAAAAAGGATTGTAAAAATTTGAAAAGTGGATAGAATATTAAGATGATAGATCGAAGATACTTTCTTAGAAATACCAATAAGTTTCCTTGATAAGATATTTTAAGGAGTTGAAACAATAGAAGCACTAGAATAAAAGATATTAGGGCTATTGGTGGAAGGGAATAGTTGGATTGTATTGGTCAATAAGATGGATAAAAGACAATCTTTTGGATTTGTTGAGTTTATTTGTTATGTATTTAAGGAGGAAGGAAGATATTTTGGATTAAAGTGGAGACTAGAATTCAATTTTTGAAGAGTTCTTGTCATTCTTTGGATTGGTGATAATGATTGAGCTACCAAATAATAAGGTTAATTTTGGGACAAGTTAGGAAAAAAGGGTTGTAAAGATTTGCAAAGTGAATAAATTATTAAGATGATGTGACAAAGATATTTTCTTCGAATTACCAATAACTTTACTTGATAAGATGTTTTAGGGAGTTGAAACAATGGAAGCCGTGGAATAAAAGATATTGGGCTATGGGTGGAAGGGAATAGTTGGATTGTTGGTTAATAAGATGGATAAAGGACAATCTTTTGGATTTCGTTGTTTGGATAAAAGGTTTCTTACAATTACCAATAAGTTTCATTGATAGGATGTTTAAGGGAGTTAAAATAATGGAAGCACTAGAATTTAAGATATTAGGGCTATTGGTGGAAGGGAATAGTTGGATTGTATTGGTCAATAAGATGGATAAAGAACAATCTTTTGGATTTGTTGAGTTTATTTGTTATGTATTTAAGGATGAAGGGAGATACTTTTTTTGGATAAAGGGATTTTGGATTAAAGTAGAGACTAGAATTCAATTTTTGAAGTCTTCTTGTCATTGTTTGGATTTGAGATAATGATTGAGGTACCAAATAATAAGGTTTTTTTTTTGGGACAAGGGAGGAAAAAGGAAAGTAAAGATTTGCAAAGTGAATAGAGTGTTAAGATCGTGGGACAAAAATATTTTCTTACAATTACCAATAAGTTTCCTTGATATGATGTTTTAGGGAGATGAACAATAAGATGTTTAAGCACTAGAATAAAAGATATTGGGCCATTGATGGAAGGGAATAGGTGGATTGTATTGGTCAATAAGCTGGATAAAGGACAATCTTTGGGGTTTGTTGAGTTTATTTGTTATGTATTTAAGGAGGAAGAAAGATGCTTTGTTTGGAGAAAGGGATTTTTTATTGAAGTATGAAACGTTTTTTTTTGTTTTTTTTAACAAGATGCTAACTTTTCATTGAAGAGAAGAAAATGAACAAAATGTTCAAAGAAAGATACAAAATCTTGAAAGAATGTTTGTCTAAAGAGTTCTTGTCGTTATTTGGATTGGATATAAGGATTGAGCTACCAAATCATAAGGTTAATTTTGGGACAAGTGAGGAAAAAGCGTTGTAAAGATTTGCAAAGTGGATAGAGTATTAAGATGATGGGACGAAGATACTTTCTTAGAATTACCAATAAGTTTCCTTGATAAGATGTTTTAGGGAGTTGAAACATTGGAAGCACGAGAATAAAAGATATTACGGCTAGTGATGGATGAGAATAGTTGGATTGTATTGGACAATGTGATGGATAAAGGACCATTTTTTTTTATTTGTTTTGTTTATTTGTTATGTATATATGGATGAAGGAAGATGGGGATTTTGGATTAAAGTAGAGATATTTATGGAGGAAGGAAGATACTTTATTTGGATAAAGGAATAGTTGGATTGTATTGGACAATATGATGGATAAAGGACCATTTTTTTTTATTTGTTGAGTTTATTTGTTATGTATTTATGGATGAAGGAAGATGGGGATTTTGGATTAAAGTAGAGATATTTATGGAGGACGGAAGATACTTTATTTGGATAAAGGGATTTTTAAGAGTTCTTGTCATTCTTTGGATTGGAGATAATGATTGAGCTACCAAATAATAAGGTTTTTTTTGGGAAAAGTGAGGAAAAACGGTTATAAAGATTTGCAAATTCAATAGATTTTTAACATGATGGGACAAATATATTTTCTTAGAATTACCAATAAGTCTCCTTGATACGATGTTTTATGGAGTTGAAACAATGGAAGCACTAGAATAAAAGATATTAGCGATATTGGAGGAAGGGAATAGTTGGATTGTATTGGTCAATAAGATAGATAAAGGACAATCTTTTGGATTTGTTGAGTTTATTTGTTATGTATTTAAGGAGGAAGAAAGATGCTTCGTTTGGATAAAGGGATTTTGGATTGAAGTATGAGACTAGAATTCAATTTTTTTTGTCTATAGAGTTCTTGTCGTTCTTTGGATCGGAGATAATGATTGAGCTACCAAATAATGAGGTTAATTTTTGGACAAGTGAGGAAAAAGGATTGTAAAGATTTGAAAAGTGAATAGAATATTAAGATGATAGGTCGAAGATAATTTCTTAGAATTACCAATAAGCTTCCTTGATAAGATGTTGTAGGGAGTTGAAACAATAGAAGCACTAGAATAAAAGATATTAGGGCTATTGGTGGAAGGGAATAGTTGGATTGTATTGGTCAATAAGATGGATAATAGACAATCTTTTGGATTTGTTGAGTTTATTTGTTATGTATTTAAGGAGGAAGGAAGATACCTTGTTTGGATAAAGGGATTTTGGATTAAAGTGGAGACTATAATTCAATTTTTGAAGAGTTCTTGTCATTCTTTGGATTGGTGATAATGATTGAGCTACCAAATAATAAGGTTAATTTTGGGACAAGTTAGGAAGAAAAGGTTGTAAAGATTTGCAAAGTGAATAAAGTATTAAGATGATGTGACAAAGATGGAGTTGAAACAACAGAAGCCCTGACATAAAAGATATTAGGGCTATTGGTGGAAGGGAATAGTTCGATTGTTGGTTAATAAGATGGATAAAGGACAATCTTTTGGATTTCGTTGTTTGGATAAAAGGTTTTTTGATTGAAGTGGGAGACTAAAATTCAATTTTCGTTGATTGGATAAAGAGTTTCTTAGAATTACCAATAAGTTTCATTCATAAGATGTTTAAGGGAGTTAAAATAATGGAAGCACTAGAATTTAAGATATTAGGGCTATTGGTGGAAGGGAATAGTTGGATTGTATTGGTCAATACGATGGATAAAGAACAATCTTTTGGATTTATTGAGTTTATTTGTTATGTATTTAAGGAGGAAGGAAGATATTTAGTTTGGATAAAGAGATTTTGGATTAAATTAGAGACTAGAATTCAATTTTTGAAGAGTTCTGGTCATTATTTGGATTGAAGATAATGATTGAGCTACCAAATAATAAGGTTTATTTTAGGATAAGTGAGGAAAAATAGATAGAGTATTAAGATGATGGGATGAAGACACTTTCTTAGAATTATCGATAAGTTTCCTTGATAAGATGTTTGAGGGGGTTGAAACAATGGAAGCACTAGAATAAAAGATATTAGGGCTATTGGTGGAAGGCAATAGTTGGATTGTATTGGTCAATAAGATGGATAAAGAACAATCTTTTGGATCTGTGGAGTTTATTTGTTATGTATTTAAGGATGAAGGGAGATACTTTTTTTTGGATAAAGGGATTTTGGATTAAAGTAGAGACTAGAATTCAATTTTTGAAGCTTCTTGTCATTCGTCTTTGGATTTGAGATAGTGATTGAGGTACCAAATAATAAGGTATATTTTGGGACAAGTGAGGAAAAAGGAAAGTAAAGATTTACAAACTGAATAGAGTATTAAGATCGTGAGACAAAAATATTTTCTTACAATAAGATGAAACAATAAGATGTTTAAGCTAGAATAAAAGATATTGGGCCATTGATGGAAGGGAATAGGTGGATTGTATTGATCAATAGGCTGGATAAAGGACAATCTTTGGGTTTGTTGAGTTTATTTGTTATGTATTTAAGGAGGAAGACAGATGCTTTGTCTGGAGAAAGTGATTTTTTATTAAAGTATGAGACATTTTTTGTTTTTTTTCTTAACAAGATGCTAACTTTTCATTGAAGAGAAGAAAATGAACAAAATGTTCAAAGAAAGATACAAAATCTTGAAAGAATGTTTGTCTAAAGAGTT